TACGTGTGTGATGGATGTCCCACCAACGACAGTGGTTGGGGTCGGGCTGAATCACGAATTGGTAGAAGTTAGAATTCATGAGCCATTCAATCATCTCCTAGTGGCTGAATGGTATACGAGCTTGCCTTGTAACCGGAAGGTCCTGGATCAAACCCTCGTGGTGGATGCGTACCGCCGATTCCCAAAATAGGATGAAACAGTTGGCTGTCCAGTACTCCCTGGTTTTCAATGGTTCTCTAACTGATATCAATCCGTGATCAACTCGTAAAAACATAACTAACCCTTACAAACCGAACTATAAGAAAGTCATCAATCACTTCTACTATCGTGGCAGCAACCGTATTGATTTCTACTGATCTTATGTCTGTGCACCTGCTTTTATAACTCCTTATAACTCTTGTATTTCTTCACAACTCTTACACAGTTCCTTACTTTCTTTTGTTTCTATGTGCATTCTAATCAATAATCACTCATTAAACTACTCATATTATTACTAAGTGCATTACGCTTATCTACTTATTTTAAATATGTTAATTTGACAGCAACTACCGTCTTAATAATCTTCACCTTCCTCGGTACAGTTTGATCATTCATCACATTTCTGGAATGTCTTGACAACAATAACCCTAACTTATTTTCAATCTTATCGGATGAGCCTAATGTACACACAAATACAGAGATAAGTATGTATAATTGCAATTGTGCGCTAAGTTGATGAATTCGCCACCTAAAAGAGACTCTTCGCTGAACTACACGTTTTTCTTTTTCACTAGATATATTTATTACTTTGTTTTATGGGTTCTAGGAAATGCAACACTATCAGCACGACGAAAGTGAACTTTAGAACATTACCCAGCTAACTAGCAAAGAAAGAACGTCGGTGTGTTTATAGTTTGGCAAAAGACCATCTGTTGAAATCAGGACACTCAGTTTCATTATATTATTTAAGATAATCAGGTATCAATCCTGCAGGAGATCAACACAAGTGATAAAACCTGTAAAAGATTTTCAAGGAAGCCTAATTACCATGGAGGAGAAACGAATAAAACAGTGGACTGATCACTTCAAAAAACTTTTAAAGCGACCGTCACCAGTGACTCGACCAGAAATGCCACCAACAACAGCAATCACAGAACTGCCTGCCAGTGGACACCAATTCTCCAATGAAACAGAAATCTTGAATGTGATCAAGCTGCTGAAGTTCACTCGGGAAGGCAGCAGAGCTAGACAGAACACTCTCAGCCTGAAGCACTGAAAATGGACTCATAGTCTGAGGCAGATATGCTCACGATAGTATTGTAAAAGGTTTAGAATGAAGGAAAGGTGCTTGCCGATTGAAGAAAGGCTGACTACCTTGTCAAGCTACCGAAGAAAAAGACTTACGCCTCATCCTGCAAGAACTGAATAATGTGGAATTGTGCCAGGTAAAAAACTGAGTCGCGTCATCATGGAGAGAATTGAAAATGCACTGGATGCAGAACTCCACCCCACCAACCAGAACAAGCTGGATTCAGGAAAGTCAAATCATGTGCTGATCAAATTACAACTCTACACATCGTCATCGAACAAAGGATAATACGGCAGTCAAACCTCTACCTCAAGTTCATCGACTCTGAGAAGGCTTTCGATAGATAGCCTTGATCTGGAATTGATTTGGATAGTGCTTTAACATTACACCATGCAATGCGCAAAAATTTATGAAACTCATTTAACAGCCGGCTGTATGATAAAGCCACGTAAATCCAAGTATTAGAAAGCTAAGATACACCTTCATCAGCTTGAAACGAGACAGAATGAAAGGAGTGTACATAAAGTAGCATATCATCCTTTCTCCCTAATCCTGAGATTTTCTTGTGATGGAGTTACTCTGTGAATGTATCAATTTTGACGCATATTGCGATTTAATGTGTGATCAACTGATTGTCTTTCATCTCACCTTGGCCTTTGTCGGATCGTCAAACAATCAGGAAAGATATATCCAATATGAATGATACATCCCTACAGTTGTGAGCCGACTTTATTATGGTAAAGAAAATGTGTGAATATGCTGTGTTATTTGCCTAATTAAGATACAGTATCTTACAGTCACAGGGCAGCCTTTGTCTTGTGATATTTGTGTGGCTCAGTGAATTGGAAAGTACGTTGAACAGAGAGACGTATTAGCGTACCACTCGAGTACATTATTGATATAGTAATTAACAGGCGCAGACCTAACAAGTTGGCAAACGGATTTATTCAATTCACTTCAGTTATAACGAATTGGCAACAGGGTTATAACATAGCATAGATTGGATTTTGTTCAACACAAATGTCAAGTCTTTTCTTCTTTACGCGTCAGAAACTTGCACTGCACGTCACAAAAAGCATTTCCAACAAGTTACAGAGTAACATCAACATCTGCCACCTTCACTGGCTGGCTCCAAAGTGAACATCAAATGCCGGCCAGATGGCCAGAAAGAATTGGCAATAACAATCTCTAGTTGGCAACAGATCAACCAAGAGCTGACTTCCCGACAGATATGAAGGAGAAAGTGAAGATGGATCGGACATACGCTGTGGAGGCCGTCGAATGATATAGCGACCATTGCAGGCACGTTTTCGAGTGGAATCTTGATACGAAGCAAGGGGTGGGTCGCTTCAATTATTCATCCTATTATAAAACACTTATTCAACTCTCTTTAAGCATTGACCAATAATAATAACTGTGTGTTAGCGACAACTCGTCACTTTTGTGACTACCCTCTTTGACAATAAAAAAGATTGCATATTAAATGCGATTATGCAGATAGAGAAGAAAAAGGAATTCGTCGCAACTAGCCTCTTCGCTTAACTGCGTGTTTCATTTACATTAAACTGATAAGAAGCTGAATTGGTAATATTAGATAGTTGAAGCAATCGGAAACAGGAAGTCTTGCCTGATACAGGTTTCGTGCTAGTTGACACTCACTAGTCAGTCAGCAAGGCATATCTGCAACCTTGAAGGAACTCATGTCTCTTCTGAGATTTGAACCTGCGTCACCCAGTGCCACCTGCAGTCAGAGACGTTACTACTGAGCTATTTGAGCTCGCGATTGACCTCCTGTAGGACTGTAATGGGTATCTAATATCATCAAATCAATGTACACTGTGATGGCGAGCTGCCTAGAATGGTAGGCACATTGCAAACCTGACTGACAGAAATCAGTCTGCATCAAAGAGAGGACTAAACACGTCACACTAGTTACTATTGTCCAATCACAGAGACCGAGTTATTTGCAAACTGTTTGAATACAGTTTCAGGGTTGATAATATTGTGTGTAAAAATAACAGCGTTTAAAATGTTTGGCTAGCTAATAAAATTAAACCATTGAGTGAATTGTCTAATTACTTAGTGACAACCCACTAACTCGCCATTTCCCATTCGGTCGGGTTCCATTTGTGTGATGGCCTGGGGTGTGATGCCACTCACTTGGTGGTTTGTCTTCTCAGAGTATGGCCACACTGCAGTCGACCTCCATTTATTCCTGTATATTTGTTGCAAAATCAGTTCCTGGTTGGCTTTCTCCCAGAGATTCCTGCTGCTGATGTTTTCTGGCTGGCCATCTGATCTTAGGAGTTTTTTTGTGAAGACAGCTGTTGATGAAGGACTTTAGTTTGTTCGAAGTGACCCGCGTGATGCGACACGGTGCAAAGTCTCTGATCTGTGTAGAGTAGCACTGACTGACCTCACATTGAAGTTGAAAATCTGGATCGTATTTTCATTTTCAGGCTGATTAGTGCTGTTGATCTCCACACAAACTTGAGAGTAATGGAAGCTTACCTTGCTTTCCTGATCCTTGCTGCTTCGATATCTTCATCAGTTCCGTCCGCCTGTAGTTGAGACTGTGGTTTCCAGACCGGTAGGTAAAGAAGTTTTCTTTCTTTCAGATTTCTTTCACTTATGTTGATTGTCGTCTGTTGTCGTTGCTGTTGGCCACGAATCTTCGTCATCTTTGTTTTCCCCACGTTCACCTGAAGTCCTGTCTTCCAGTTTGCGGAAAATCAGACATATATCAGATCCTCTAGGTTTTTGTGTGGGTCCTTTTTATATCTGTTCCCTCGCTGCCCATCGCTGTCTGTCGCGTTATCCATTTTACCGTAATTAAGAAAATCATTGGAGATAGTAGGTAGCAAGCCTTCCTTGTCTTACTCCCATCTTTACTTCTTCGAAGGATTCTGTGAATTTCCCGTTATGGATTACTTGGCATTCAGCCTATCTTTTTTAGTATAAATTTCATCAGGAATCAACGTCAGTAAGAGAACAATTGAACCAACAAATGTGGCTGATACTGGAAAGCCCGTTGGACCATGAATTCCAATTGAGTGGTTTTGTGTTATGGACATCAATGACTGTCCATTTCACAATGAAACTGTGGATTCCATTGACCACAACTTCTCAGAACAGCTTCATAACATCCGTTCAGTAGCCGTCAATAAACTACAGATTGATATTTTAACCATGTACTTTTGTAAGCATTTTCAACAGTTTTCAGCCGTCCTATGTTCTCAATGATTCTCCGACTGATGCTGGTATGAACTCAGATCACGACAAGTTTATATTTTGAGGAATACGTTTCCCCGCAACGAATTCTTATTTGCAGCACACATCTAAATAGCATTATTCTTCTGATATTACAATAAAACCAACAGACACCCGCAATTACCTTTCAATCATTTGTTTACTTCTTCAAAGAAGGACATTTTATTTAAAACAGCATGTACATATATATATATTGATATTCAATAAAACAAAACTTCGCGTACAAAACAAATAAACCAGTAAGACTCCTTCTGGATTAGCAGATCGATGTTTCTTTGTAAATGCTTAGTTTCTTTATGATTGAAAAAGAAAAACATTGATATCTTGACAAGAAAAATACGGGGTTGAGGGAAATCTTTCTATCGCTGTTTTTAGTACATTGCTATAGCTGAGTGGGGTGGGGTGGGGGGCATTTATTTCTTGAATTCACCAATAATTTACATCAACTTTTCCCTTTTATGAGATGAATAATACTTCCACGTTGGATTGACTCAGCACTTAACGGTCGCATACTTGTAGTCGATACGGCAGTGTTATGAACACCAGTTTGCATTGTTGTAGAACCTGCTGGAACTAAAGATGTTCGTTGTATACTAGATACTGGTGTACTTCCAGTGGATTGCATAACCACAGAGGTTTTACTCCTCTGAGCTAAAGTAATTGAACGTTTACTGGTGGTTGGTTGAGATTTTGGTGAACGATTCTTTCTAAGAAGTTTTGCAATATGCTGAAACAAAACAAAACAGGTGAGAAAAAAGAACAGGATGAAAATTCAAGTTAAATGAATACTGAGAGTGAGAGGTGGGTGACAAAGGCTTTCAGTAAATTGTGGGAGCAGCATATAAGGACTAGAGTAAACAGGACGAAATGGAAATTTCCCATTCCAATCCTAAGGGAAAAACAATAACTATCTATAAGTCAGCGAAATATAAGGCTTAAAAACACAATTTTCAGCGAAGAGACTCTTTTCAACGAATTTATTATCAAGCTGTACAATCGTATATATATGGTTTTATAAAGAAATTATATCTGGTGAGGAATTAGGTCAAAGGTGTAAATACATGAAATAATAATAGTAGCATGAAATAAATTTAAAATATTTGTGATTATATTCAGTGCATTGGTGGCACAGTGGTTAGGACTCTCGCCGACCATGCACATGATCCGGGGTTCGATCCCACGCCGGTGCACACCTGATATCTATGGTCGGCCTGCAAAATTTGGGCTACCGATATCCATGCTGAAAATTCCATACTTGTACCAAAAATACAGTGTGGAATCAAGCTGTAAATCAAAAATCAAAAAATCAAAATTCATAGTTTAAGTCAAGTGGAACAATAATTAATGTCATATATAAGATAATACATCAGATGTATAGATTTTGGGGAGAGGCATATAATTGTAAGATTAATAGACGAATATAAAATGTTACATAACATGGTGTGAAATTTGATAACATAGAATTTAATATTGTAAAAATAAAGATAAAAAGTATACACATGAATAATTTTTGGTTTAAAATGTCAAGTAGATCAAGTGGAAAAGATTCAGAATGAGAGTCGTAATAATAATAATATAATAATACTAATAATCGAAGTAATAAGGGAAAAGTACATAGAATAATAAAATAAATAAATATCTATCCCTCTACGGCCAAGGCAGCAGTAGGGATTGTACATACTTCTTTTCTACACAAAGGTCTGGCTTAAAGTCATGAATTGCCAAGGCCTCAGCTGTCTTTAGAAGTCTGTAACGAAGAAAACGCGAGGAGTTAGCATGAATTCTATATATGACCTTGAAATCATGGTCAGGGTTGACCGAGTGACAGAAGTCGATGAGGTGTTCTAGGATAGAGCTTCGCACACATTTCCTTTCTCCCTTGTAAAACCAAGCTGGAATATGTTCTCGTATCCGTGTGGAGAGCATTCTCTGACTACGGCCAATGTACCTTGCTCCACAACAGTAGGTGAACTGATGGATGCACATGGAGGCCTTTCTGATTCTGACTGATTTTGATATCTTCATCCGTTCCGACTGATTGGGGTGAAACAATGCTTCTTAGATAAGTGAAGGCAGAAGGTAACCAGGGTTAAATTTCTCCCGTTGATGGTGATAGGTGCTGGTTGTTGCACTTCGTTGGCTATCTTCATCCACTCCGTCTTCTAAAATGTACACTTTAAATCTTGTCTTCGCTGCCAGACTCTTCAACCAGTTTGTCGGTTTTCGCCTGTCAATCTTCATGTTTGAGTGACATTAAGCATAAATCATCCACGCGCGAAATCTAGATCTTATAGAGTCTTGTTGTCGGTTTTCCAGCGTATTCCAGTCTACCACAATTAAGAAAATCATCGGTCACAATATACATCCGTGTCCTACTCTCGTATGTACTTCAAAAGCCTGACTGAGTTTTCCATTGAGGATCACCTGACAGGTGCCACTGTCATATAGCTGTTGAATGTGGTTGATGAAAACCGAGCATTGCACGCCGAAGCGCTGAATTGGTTTTCCAAATTACGTCTGTTTGACCACTCTTAACTGTGTTCCAACCTAATGCAATGTCAACTAACGTTGCTCAGTGTCAAATAATATGCATCATTGTCTGGATTCAACATAAAACTGGCACCGAAGTGCACAGTTCGAGTTGCCACCTTCCAAATAGCACACAGAGGTAGACAAGAAGATGAGTGAAGAGAATCAATAGAGTTTGACAAGTATAAGAGTGAAACTGAATGGGTAATGGTAGAAAGGAATATGAAAGATTACAGAGACTGAATACATCTGCGCTGGCCATTGACAACGATTTTGAGCCATGTCACCTATTGTCTCCAGCCATTGATTCCTATAGTCAGTCCCGAGGGCCCCAACAAATAATAATAGCCTGTTTGAAGATATGCATGACAGTTATTAGATGGTTAGAAGCAGCCGGTAGGATTTCTTGTACCTAGGTTTCTTGCTTTTTAGCACTCACCAGTCTGCAAGGCGTGCGATCACCCTTGAATAAAGATCTCATATCTCTCCCATGATTCGATTTCTTGCCACCTAGTGATGCAGTCAGGAACACTACCACTGAGCTTTTCGCGCTCACGATTCATCTCATGTTTGTCTCTACTGGATGATAACATGGCTGATAGAACTCACTCTACACCGAACAAAAGAGCAGATGTATGACATTGCTTATTAACAACTGTCCAAAGGATACCTATTACATAATTTATTTTTGAACACGTGTCTCCATTAACTTCCTATTTCACATTACGCAACCTCTGTCAATATTTACTAGTTTACATCCCCTCTCCAACACTTTGATGGCGTTAACAGTAACCCTAACCGAAATTTATTTTATTTTTGTTTGACAGTCCTATTGTTAATGCACACACATGCAAAATAATCATATATAAATGCGATTGTACAAATAAGTGAATGAATTTCCCGCCGAAAAGAAACTCTCCTCTGAACTATGTTGTTCTTATATTCACATCTAGATGGCTATTTTCCGTGAATATGCCACAATTGTTACATGCAATAACTCAAACTGTGTTAACAAACTGAGCTGATAATCAATCACGTTTTTTCACCGCGTAAATGTTACTCAAAATCTTCACACAAAAATATTTCAGTCGTGCGAATCGTACTCAGAGTACACTTTACACTTTACCTATTCAAGTAGGTAGTTACCTGGGGTTCTGGTGGAAAGTCGTGACCAGTAGGGTGTAACCGATCCGGTGTGAGGACAAATACTCGCCGAAGACATTGGCTAGCGGTTGCGCTATATAGTGAATTGGCCATTGGGCCATTGGATCGGGTCCCAGTGGTTTAATGGTATACGAGCTCGCCTTGTAACCAGAAGGTCCTGGGTTGGAATCCCGGTGGGTGCGTACTGATGAAGAGTCCCAAACTAGGACGAAACAGCTGTCCAGTACTCCCAGGTTTTCCAATGGTTCTCTAACTAGTGTCAGCTCATGATGAAATCCTGCAACCAATGAACCAAATCCCTATAAACCAACACTTGAAAGTAATAAAAAATAATTTAAAAAAGTATTGGAACCAAATAAGTGACCGAAGAAAAAACGGTTTTACCTTTTGCCAACTCGTTGGAAAAGCATTCAACAGGCAAGCAATAGTAATGAGTACTAAACTTGAAATTTGCACAGAGGACATAATAAACTTTTGTTTTGTCCAAAATAATTCATAAGCTATTAGGAAAATAATAAAAATAACAACAATACTGAGTTGTGTGAGCACTATAAAATCTTTTTTGTTGTAAGCAAACTTGATGGAACATAAAAATGGGATAATTCGTCAATAATCTAGAGGAACATAAAACTTACTGTTCCTTGAATGTTGGCAATTTCACTGCTTAGAGTCGCTAGTTATGATAGGAACTAGCATAAAATAGTATATCAACTTAACTCATGCATTTTGTGATTGATTTTGTGATCATTACTCATTTATCACGGTTATTGTGGTAAAGAAAGCGTATAAATATGATATGTTGTTTGCATAATAAATAAACAGTCAGACGGCCAGCCTTTATCTTTTGTTATTTGCTTGGTTCAGTGATTCGGAAGGCACATCAGACGAATAGACGTATTAGCGTACCACTCGAGTTCATTATCCAATATAACAATGCGTGTCGGTGGCACAGTGGTTAAGACTGTCGTCGACCATGCTCATGGTCTAGGGTTCGATCCCCTGCCAACGCACACCCGATATCTATGGTCTGCCTGCAACATTTGGGCTACCGATATCACATGCTGAAAATTCCATACTTGTACCGAAAATACGGTGTGGCATCAAGCTGTAATCAAAATTAAATAAATAAATAAATAAAAAAGTTCAACATCATTTTTTATAGTGGTGTGAGAGATTCCCCTAATTACGCACTTCATAGTTGACCCATGTCTTGCTTCTTTATAGTGTGGTGGTGTCATACAGACAATGCTTGCCAATGCTACATTAGCAACAGAATACTATAAATGTATTTGAACATTCTACTTCATGTCGTTTAATTTTCGTACGCTCAGTGACTGGTTAGGGAATATAAACAGCGGTTTGGTCAATGGGAAATATACCTTGGCTTCCGTGTCCTGCATTTTGCTGAAATATTTGGTGTCGCTGCCTTCCAACAAATAGGAAGCCTATGCTCTGCAGTTTTTGCAGGAGATTTATGGATATTTGGGAAGACTTCGAGGCTGTTGTGCAGTTGAATGGCGTTCAAGATCTGTTAGCGATGAGGCTGTCAATTTGAACGCTGCTGGGAATTCGGGCGAAAGTAGCATATGATAGTGTGAAGCAAAATACCAGCGAATGACGTACCAGGGTCATGCAAACTACGAGAACGGCCATATAGGGTCACCGTGAGACGGGGCCACGTATATACGGTCAGAAATGCAAACAGAGAGTAGCGAGTGAACATCAGCGAGATCCGGAACTCTATACAGCAAGACAAGCTAACAAAGCCACCAGCACCGAGAAGACCGAACCGACTTGAGTCTAAATTATTTGATGGGAGGATGAGTATGGTGTTGTGACACAGACAAAATGTGCAAACACAATATTATTCCCACACCATCCCACAGTTCAATTCTGTATTAGCAACAGAATACTATTTATATTTGGACATTTACTTCATTCGTTTCATGTTAACCGAAGTCACACGCTCAGTGAAGGGTTAAAGAATGTAAACTGTATAGTTATGTAAACAGCTGTTTCATCCGTGGAAAAGATATCTTTGTTTCCATGTCTCTTGTTGTTATAACAGTAGTTAATAGAGTTTTATTTAGGCAAGAATATGATAGAAAAGCTTACTAACTAGTTTGAAAGATACCATTGATCATAGGAAACAATGAAGCATCTAAATAGAGAAACTAAGTGTAAGACAGACCCTCCGTGCTCTCAAATCTACCTTACTCAGCGTAAAATACCAAATTCAGATCTTGAATACTAAGGTAAAGTCGACAACTACCTTCTATTTAGTTCAGAGACTTGGCTTGTCACCGGAAGCATTCACAACTTCCTGCTGCGGATTACATCAAAAACTGTGTTTGCTTCACACTGAAGATCAGATAGCTAGATAGAATAAGTGAATAGGAACTCTGTAAAGCAGGGAACCACCTAAGAATTCACTGCTCAACAAATATACCAAAGAAAATACTCTTAGATTGGATATATTTAGACTGTTGAGTGACATCACTTGTCAGTCCCTTGTGTGGAATTTGGCTGAGAAACGACGAGCTGTGTATGGGTTCACTCGTAATAAAGAGGAGCTCATGTGAGGAGGTAGTGATAGTTTATGTTTAGTGGTGGAACCAAGTAGAGGAATCTGCATAGGTCACACTGAGATGTTGGTGTTTTTCTGGAGCTTTTGTTCTGCTCGAAAAATCAAAAGGAATGATAGTAGTATGTCTCAACCTTGATTCTGTCACCAATCGGAATCATTCAAATAAACCCTTGAAAATCAAACGTCGTTTTTCTTATTCTAGTCTATCAATCATTAGTGGTGCGCAGTCATGATTTCATCAGATATATAAAGAGAACTCTTAGGTTAGTTGGCTGGTAAATTAGCATTCGTCTGCTGGGTTGGAAATCGACTACACATGAATTAAAACTACTCATAATAATACTTCATAGTAACGTCTATCAGTATGACCTATCTGGGTCATTGTAGGAAACATTTCACAACAGTAGAGGGAAATCTACCAAATTATTTTGAATAACAGATAATATTCCTACTCTGTCAATAGGGTTGTTATGTATGAGTACGTTGCCGTTCTCCTCGTCGTCTAGTATAGGAAGTAGGAAAAATTTACCGCCTCCACTAACGTGAATACAATAACAACTGTTCCTACTGGATCAGGTGATTTTGTTCAAATAAAATGAAGTGGCTTTAACACTAGACGCAAATACCAGTCGCCGTTATCGAATAGCCAATCGTATTTAGGTACTTGGATACAAGAAGAATGAAAAGAATTCATCGCAAAAATATTGAGAACAGGAGCTCTGCTGTCTTATTACGGATTATTCAGCATCTAGATATGATAGAGAAGATTTGTAGCTCAGGTGGATAATTTTGATGTGGTTTTGTTCTCTGAGCTGGATAGTTAGTTTGCGAAGCTTTCATCACCTTACTGGGTGACATCTTCAGCGCATACTTCAAATTGAAGTGAGCTTTTAGGTTTCTCCACGAGTTTATTAATCATTCCTCCTGGTGACCTTGAATGTGATTGGTTGTTTATGTATGTTTTCACACCTTCTAGGTTACTTGTGTTGGAACTGATTGTTTCTGTGACTTGAACTTTGGCCAATCGTGTGTGAAGTTTCTTTCTTATTGGTTGATAAATTTTGTCTATCTCGATGTGTCTATTGATTGATGATTCACTGGAATGCCAAGCTTCTAAAAATTCTCTAGCATTCTTGTTATTTCCTTTGTCTAATATTTGAACGTTGTCCCAGTCGAATTGATGTCCGTGGTTGTCTGTGTGTAGTGAAATGAGGGAGTGTATATCATGTCTTTTGACGGCTAGCTTATGTTCGTGGATACGAAGACGAAGCATCTAGTTAGACCCAGAATTATCATACATAAGGACAAGTGGAGAGAAACCTCACAACTAACTTCTTTTGGGTAAATATATATATATATATATATATATATATTGAATTGAATCTTTGGTTTTCCCGTCGATTGATTGGACGGGAAAACCAAAGATTCAATTCAATAATTAATATGACCCGTTGCACAAGAGGTGGCTCTCGTGGCCCAAGTGGTCTAGTGGATAACGCTTTGGCGTTTGAAACTATGGGTACTGAGTTCGAGCCTCGGTGGGAACATCATCACTCACTGAGAAATGCAGGTACATCCAGCTGACGAGTCCCAAATAGGACGAAATGCGCTTTATCCTGGATTCCACTGCTAGCCACCATCCACCAATTGTATACTAATATATATATATATATATATATTTATATAACACCGCAAACCATTCACTCTGATCTCATTTGAAAGTTATAAGTGTCTGTTCAAGGTGATTTTTTGGGTCATCTGCTTTGGTTTGCGTCATTTTATGTTTAGTGAACGGTTTTTGAGCTAACCAGTCAGCTGATCTATTCACATTAGACATTAGGAGTGAGTCAATTGAAATTTTTGCATTATTTCTTTGTTCAAAGATGATCTACAAATTTTATAAAACTTTTGAAATAATAAAGAAGATTTGTAGCTCAGATAGACGATATTGAATTGGTTGTGTTCTCTAAAAAACTGGTTGATTTAATTGCCAAGCTTTTGTTTTCCCCCATCCAGATGACATCTCTCCTCGTGAATAATGTCATTGTATTATCTCCTAGCAATCAGAGTCATGACTAGTTGTTCACGCCAGAGGACAGTTAATTGGTGCTTTATATTTGACTCTGGATGGTTGAAATTCTTGGCGAAGACATTCATGGAACAAAAAATGTAGTCGTTCTTCTGTGGAAACTTGCCTTTCGACAAAGTCTTCAATCGCAGATTTGATCACCACTGGAATACAGCGAATTGCTGGTTAGCTTTTCTTCCTGTTCTTAGAATCTTCTGCTGTTTGTACCTACTGAGGTTCGAACACAAGAAGGGTCCGTCAAGTCAGGTAAGAGAGCAGTATTACCTCTGACGAAGGCTGGGGGTTGGAATTCACCGGCCATTGATTCAGGTCCCAGTGACTGATTGGCTTGTGACCTCATCATGTAATCTAGTTGTCTTCGTGAAAGTCCTGACACATACTGATGAAGAGACCCAAACTAGGATGAAAAAATGCTGTCCAGTAGTTCCTGACTTTCCAATGATGCTCTAATCGATATCATCTCCTGATCAAATCTGTAAGCAGCATCAATCAAATCCCAGCATAGTAACACTTGATAATTTCACCTACAGAACAATAATTCAAGTATTGTTTCGTAGGGATCTTGGTTGATTGGTTACAGGATTTCATCATAAGCTGACATCAGTAAGTGAACCATTGGAAAAACAACAAGGAGTGCTGCACAGTTATTTTCTCCGTCCTCCTTTAGGAATCTTTAGTAGTAGGCATCCACTACTTGGGTTTGAACCCAGGACCTTCTGGTTACAAGGTTAGTGAGCTCGTAGACCATTAAGCCACTGGGACCCAAATCAATGGCTCATGAATTCTAACTTCTGCCGATTCACGATATAGCGCGACCGCTAGCC